AGTATTCTATGAAAATAGACAACGGTAACTATATGCAACTCCGTGAATGAATCTCATAAATGATAGAGGCAAAACAAGATACATTGCTTATAAAGAAGGCAAGACAAAATAACATATTGCATATGTTCCATTCACATAAGCTTTATAAATAAGCAGAGCTAAATTATATTTTCAGGGATGTGTATACCTGTGGCAAAACCTATAAAGAAAATCCAGAAGCTTGTCCTCACAGAGTTAAGATGGTATTAACGTGGAGGAGGGTCGCGTGATTGAGGGAGATATATACAGTTTCTGGATCTGGTCTGTTTTTTGACCTGATTAGAGTTACTGGTGTTCACTTTATAATCATTGACTTCGATATAAATTTCGATTCACTTTTCTTTGTGTATGTTTCACAATTTTAAAAAAATTAAATATTTTTATGCATTTTCAAAGTGTCTGGGAAGAATAAGTATCTTTCAAAATTGGAAACAATTATTAAAAATGGGGTAAAGGAGAACTTTTCTAATTAAAAATCCTAGTAGTCTAAGTTCCTTGGAACTTGACATATTTTTCCTTTATTTCACAATACTTATTTATACCTTGTGCTAGATCTGACTAATTGTCCATCCAGCCGGCATTTGTGGAGCATTTACTGCTCAGCTGCTTCACAGAAGTGAGATTTAAGGTGGGTGGTGATATTATGGATGGATTTAATCGATGAACTTGCGCATTTAAAAACCACGACCTTGTGAATACCTTTAATTCTGTAGTTTTACTTCTAAATGCTATGATTCTATTAGTTTGGAATGAAATTTGACAATTATCGTTATAGAATTAAGCATATACTAAAGAACATTTCAGTTCTTTGTAGGCAGTAGTTAAAAATGCAGCCTTGTCAGGCACGGCTTCTGGTAGTAGACAGCATGGTGTCCTGAGTCCAGAATTTAGTAGCGTATCTCAAGATTTCAGAGAAGGCCAGTCCCCTGGAATTTTTATCAGTTCTTATAACAGACTCCACATTGTTTAAATACTTATTTAAACACATTTACTATGAAAACTATCCCGAATACTAGATTTCTTTACTCTGTACACAAACCAAAGATTGTGTGTGTGTGTGCGCGCGCGTATTTGTGTATACACGTGTGTATATATAACTTTAATGGAGAATAAGTTTCTGAAAATTTAAATCTATTACTTTTTGCTAATGAGAGAATATAAGCTAAAAGAAATCTATTTAAAATTAACTGCTCCTGTCTATAAGTCGTTTTGAGGTATATTTGTTTTTTTAAGTGTATTGTGTAAAAACCTGAGTATATTTATAAAGAAGTCTGAACAGCATTGTTCTTGCCTCCTCAAGTTTCTTCTCCGTCCCCTTCCGACTCCTCCCTAATTCTTTCCATCTCCAGTTTCACTGACAGATTTAGTAGTCTGGACGAAAAAGCGAGAGACAAACGTGCAGGGCCTGCTAAGCAGTATTATATACCCAGAATTCTATACGTTTCCTTGACTTGAAAGATAAGGTTGCTAATACTTTATATGTAGAACAGTAGAACACATGACTTTTTGAGCCTTTGGCCCCAAACAGTAAATAATCCTCAGTCAGTAGAACACATGACTTTTTGAGCCTTTGGCCCCAAACAGTAAATAATCCTCAGTCATCTTCCGGTTTGGGACTTATATGACTTAGATAAGGAGACTATTATTTTGCGACATAAAGGATTATGGCAGTCTTCTTTGTAAACGTTCTTTGAGTGTAAGGAATGGAAATCCATTTAAAGTAGTTCAAGCTAAAGGAGAATTTATTGTAAGAATACAGGCACGTGGCACCCAAGGCAGGAAGGACTCGGTGGCTTCCTGAAGGCCTGACATCAAGAAGTTCATCTCCAGGTCTGCCTGGTCTCACGTCTGCCTCCACGGCACAGCTGATGTCCTGGGTCTTTGACCAATTAACCATTTTTATAATCAGACTGTAATCCCCAGATTTAACAAGAAGCTTCACTTATAGTTCTGTCTTTGATGCCTCAGTAGGAGCAGAGATTTGGAACGCTGATCTGAAGGGCATAGAACAGGTCGTCTCGAGTCAGCTTAAATGGACCACTTCACGGCTCACACAGCAGATCTCTCTAGCAAGTTAGGATGTATGTTTCAGAAAATGACTATTTAAGCAAAGCAAGTGGGGTAACTCAACCTAAATGGTACATATGCCACTGAAATTTGAAATTATTTTGGCACAATTGAGTTTTCCCCTTAAGCTCGCCATAATGGCCCTGAAAAACTTTCAGTCACACGTATATAAGAATAGAGGACTTTAGAAGTTCCGTTTACTCGAGAACGGGACACTGTAATCACCAGCGATGGCCAGGGAGAGCGCGCCGCGTGAGAATGCTGGACGAATTCTTTTTCTGCCTAAAAGCAGACTCCTCATTGTGGTGGCTTTTGTGACAGTGTTTTCCTCACCGAGCAAGTGTTTCTGTCGCGGCTAACATGAAGCGTGTAGAAACACTGAAGCCCGCCTGCTCCTTGTACGCCGCGCCTGGCCTTGTTAATAGATTGCAGCGTTCCACCTGTTAGCACCAGCGACCCAGGAGGAACTCACTATCGTGCTATGTGGTAATGATACAGAAGACAGAAAACGTCTTTTTATGGTAGCTGGGTCCCCAGCAACCCTTCGTGGCTGGCGATAAGGAGACACAGCCTGGCCCTCCAGCGGAGGCACAGCAGCTCGTTATCTGCAGAGCCGATACGGCCTCTTGAATTCCCGCACGGTGACGGGGACCCATCCGAAGTGAAGGCTTGCAGGGCTGCAGATAGCACAGCCCTGTTCTTCCTCACAAGTGCAAGGAGGGTTGACCCTGCTGTTGGAGAATACAAGTTTTGTGTAGAATCATTTCACAAAGGCCACGTCGTTTCAAACTCAGTAATTTAGAAACATGTTCAGAGAGATGTGTACTTGGAGATCGCTCTTAGTGGAAGAGCTGACTGTGAATCACCTGGTCTGCAGATGCGTGCATGTGAGGGGGAAGCGTCTAGAGCTTTCAGGCCAGGATAAACAGCTTGGCGACGGAGTCTGCGTGTGGGCACCTCCCGGATGTGTTCTGCTGCTGGGGCCGTGGAGGCCACGAGTTCATTGCGCAGCAGCGTCCTGGGCATTAATGTCCTAGCAGATAGCAGCTGGCAGAGCTCTAGCAAGCGGGCCATGCCCCGTGGGTGGGGGAGGACACACGTCTCCATCCTTCAGTTCTAAACAGCAGGACCTTTTATGGCTGAGAACACAGACGTCCACGTGACTAGTCAGACCCACAGGACCTAGGCGCGGGCCGCCGCTCCGAAGCAGGTGGCGTGTGCGCCCCATGCTCGTGTTCGGCGACTGTGGGGAGGGGGTTTCAGGCTTCGTGTGTGGGATTCCCAGCACGTGCCAAGTAGTTTGAGACACTGACATCTGTAATAATTTCATGATTCTTTAAGCATAAGATCATCAAATTGAGTAAAGCGGAATTTTAAACTAATTTGACTTAAGAGAAACTTAAGGGAAAAACCTCAAATCCTAATGTACTTTGTTTACTTTGCACTTCTTTCGAGGAAAAAAGTAAAATAAGCATAATTTTGTTAATTATATTTTAAAGAACACTAGGATCTCTATTATAATGATTTAATTAACATTTTAAATCTAATTTAAATAATCATTTTTAATGAACTTATCCCAGTGCAGATCTATTGATCAGACCATTTCCTAATTATATTAGCTCTGTGAGTTAGGCTTACCTGGACAATTTTAACTTTCTCAATCTTTGCAGTTGGCCGGAAAATCAACAAATCTCAAAGCTACTTAAGTCGTTGAACCCAGTAAATCTACTTTAAAATAAGACCCATCAAGATTTTTAAAAATTTAGATGTTCCGGAAGTAAATTAATATTCCATAGATTGTCAAGCCCTTGGTTTTCAATTTATTTCTTTTAAATACTAGACAAGTCATTTCATGATTTTAATTTAAAAAAATTAAAAATTAGAAAACCAACCATTTACTCTATTTTTACTATGTTAGTAAGAAAAAAAAAAGAAAAGTCAGTTTGGTCCAAGGATACTTTGATGACTCCCAAGCAAATTCTTCAGAAGGTCAGTTCATGCAGGAGCTCTATAGAACGAGCTGGCTAAGAGGGCAGAGAAAAGGTGCCTGCTGAGTCTTTTTTTTTTTTTACAAATTTTAAAAATTAAGTTTACTAATGTGTTCATTCTGCATAGGAAAGAGTCATTACTGTCATAGAAATAAGCATTTGAGTTTTTGTATTTTAAAATTATGTAGGAAAATGATAATAATTAGGAGTTAAGTTACTGAGATATTGTATTGATTCTTTCTGGTGATTAGAATAAACTCTCAGGCAGAAAGGGATAGCAGGAGATGAAGCTGCTGAAGTGTCCATTTTATAAAGGTACCACCGTAACTTCTCGGAGCATCGTTTGGATGCATTTCCATTTCAGTCCTCAACACTCATGGGCCCTGTCAGATAGGTCGATCGGGCTTTAATCAGACTGGCTGGTAACCGTCAGAGCAGCAGTAGCTCAGTAGCATTCTCCCGGGAGTTTGCGAAGGAGGAATCCAAACAAGCAATGATTCCTCTGCTCTGTGTCCAGTGGGAACCTTAGGTTTTGCTCACATCTAAGATTTAGCATATCGAAGAATCAGAATACGTTTGTGATCATTCAGAACCATTTCAGTGGCTCTTGTATAACTCCATTCAGTCTGTGCTCTCTTAATAAATTTTACAAAGAAAACTCATGGCAAGTTAGCATCATGTGTGTGTGAACTTTCCAATTGTATTTCAGACTTTAAGAAAGAAAGGCCTTAATGGTTGTGACAGCCCTGATGCTGACGATTACTTTGAGCACAGTCCACTCTCGGAGGACAGATTCAGCAAACTAAATGAAGATAGCGATTTTATTTTCAAACGAGGCCCTGTAAGTACTTTTACTTCACCTCTACTTTTTATGTGTTGATCCTTTTTGTTAACTTCATTATTTAGGCTCTGAACAAGAAGGAACACAGAGGGTGCGACAGCCCAGACCCTGACACTTCCTATGTGCTCACGCCACATACAGAAGAAAAATATAAAAAAATTAATGAGGAGTTTGATAATATGATGAGGAATCATAAGATCGCAGTGAGTACTAAAGGATGGTTTGTGCTTTTCCCTCGTGCATGACGAGACTGACCACTCATCTTGTTGATTTTCACAGTGGGTGATGCCAACGGGAAATAGGAAGGGAAAAGCTTTTCATTTTACCTTTCGGTTTTCTAGAAGTTCAGAATAAAAATAGCTGAAGTCCTATAGTAGTACCCGTGCAGTGCCAAAAACGCGGCCGCGAAGAGAACAGCCTCGTCCAGGCTCTGCTGCTTACGCGCTCCGTCCCTCCGCGTGGGCACCGAAATCCTGGACTCATGTCATTTTTAAGGTCTCTTCCAGCACTAAATTTCCGTGATTTTAAATACACGGTACATAGGACTTTGCTGTCCCTGCCGTGACTCTCAAAAGTATTTCACGTACTTCAAATAGATCTAGAGACTATAAAATACAAGTGGTTGGGTTTGTTCCAAAATTTGGTGTTTCCACATGGTTTTGAATTATTTTGTATAGTTGCCGTAATAGTAGTAGCCGACTGTTTGGCTCTTCGTGAATGTCCCCAAACCACTTGGCAACAGTACCTCCAGATGCCTCTGCTTTCTTTGTCCTGTGGGCACTGAGGAAGAGAGCCTCGGTTCCGCTTTAACTTCAGGAGGCAGTGTTCTTCAGCTGGTTGCAAAACAAATGGTTGGTTTAAAATTTTCCCATGCTCACGCATTGAACCATAGTGAAGCAGCACTTCTTGGGTTCCTGCTCCTATGATAGGTCTTCGGGCTTCTCACTGGAAGCCCCGTTGGCAAGCGCTCCTCAGGGCAGCTGTTCTGGAGCTCGTTTTCAAGTGCTGCATATGCACCGTAGGCCTCGTGGGACACACTGGCTCCAATGCTAGTATTTATTTCATTGTTAGAGTTAATTCTTTTAAAACTATGCCCCGAAGTATGCGTCATGGATTATTTCTTCAGAATAGTCCTCTGCTATACGAAACAGCTCATGAAAAATAGATTCAAGAAGGTATTTTTGGGCCAATACCATCATTGTTCTTAAACAAAATAATAACAAACAAAATAAAATCCCTCTGACCTCCTGTAGGTGTTGATGACCTTGCAGTTCATGTTAAGCTGCAAAAATATTGTGTAAATAAAATTGCTTTACCTTTGAAAAAAATTTTTTTTATCACATATCCATTGTTCTATTATAGAATTATTGAATTATTATAATTTTCTACCGGAAAGAAACTATCGAATAGAGTACTTAAAGTATTTACATTCTCCAACTTCGAATTAGCAGTGTTACCTTACTTTGCAAATCACGGTTTTAAAATGTCGGAAGAGGAAAGTTTTTTTCCTCTACGTTATAAACAGGACTGTTATTTATCGTGGTTAACAAGTGTATTGTGAATGGTCTGTGGAGGGGATGCTAGAGGAAAATTGAAAATATTTTAAAGGGGATGTGTAATATTTTGGAGGGAAGAAGGATAACTGATAATATATGTAATTTAATCATACAATTTAAAGAGAGCTTATCGTTAATTTTGTTTAGATTATTTTTTTGTATTTTCATTACATTCAGATTGCGTTGTGTTACTTATATGACTTTATTTTTTAAAAAAAATTTTGTCCATTAAGAATGTCAACTAAATCAGACCAGGGCTTATTTATAATGTGTGAAATTTAGTGTATTAAGTTTATAATAAGTGCACACACTTCTCCCTTTTATTATATTTGGACTCTCCCAGTAGAAATGTACTGTCACTAAACTGGTTTCCACTGAAGTGCTAAGTTATGCTTGCTTGGTAACATGATATATTTCGTAATGTCTGAATTTGACAACACGACTTTAAAGTCAGGTTCAGACTTCTAATTTTCACCTGTGAATATTTGAAATATATAACATATGTTATATTAGTAACTATGTATTGATACGTAAAAAATTGAAATCGAAAAGGTTCGTGTCAAATATACTCATGTTCAAATATAATTCTAAAGAAAATAGCGTAAATCTGCGAAGCGATTTAGTGAGAACCTGTCCCCATCCCCTGCTTTTAATAGTTACCTTGTCAGATGAAAGTTCCTAAGTTCTTAAACTTAATATAGATGAAAAGGAAACTAACAGTTTTCTCTTTCGTGTTCCTTCTTCACAGCCCGGCTTGCCGCCTCAGAACTTCTCGATGTCTGTCACAGTCCCCGTGAGCAGCCCTAGCGCTTTGTCCTACACTAACCCAGGGAGCGCACTTGTGTCCCCGTCGTTGGCAGCCAGCTCCACATTAGCCGATTCGAGCATGCTCTCACCGCCTCAAGCCACGTTACACAGAAACGTGTCCCCCGGAGCCCCCCAGAGACCGCCGAGCACTGGCAGTGCAGGTATGTCATGACATCCGTCCTGCCGGTCCTTTACCAACAAGGGTGAAAGGACCGATCGCTGACACCAGCTGTTCCGCTCCTCCCAGCTTTACCGCTTTGATGAGCCGCAGTCACTCCTACGCGACTGGCTGCATTTCTAAAGTGGTTTTGATTTAATCTGCAGCGGAACAGCACAGAGACCCCCCCATCTAGAAGCTTTCCTTCTCACGGGGAAGCCGCCCCTTGACAGAGCAGTTAACTGGGACATCGTGAGCGAGGACTTAAAGTTGACTGGGAGCCATTCCTGTTAGGAGTGCAGAGGACAGACTTAGCCGTTGGAGCGAGAGCGCTTGCGCATCTCGCCCTGCCTGGATTTGTTCATTAACTCAGCGGAGGTTCGCAGCGCGCTGACTCCCTGCGGCCCTGGTTCACTGGGGCCCCATTAGCACGGCTCCCGTTCTCATCCCTGTGTGCGGTTCGGTGTCGAGACCCAGGCGGCATACGCACCCAGGACTCGCGGGCGAGCCCGTGTACACGACTGTGCCCTGTTACAGGTTCAGACCGGGCTAGTTTTAAGTTTTGTCTTCTGGGGACTGGAATGAGGGTTACTCCGTTTAGTTGATAGCCGTGCAGATCAAGAGCCAGTTCACAGCCTCCCTCTTCTCTCCTTAACGTCGTCAGGCGGGATGCTGAGCACTTCAGACCTCACGGTGCCAAACGGAGCTGGAAGCAGCCCAGTCGGTGAGTGACTTCCTCCTTTTCACTTTGCAGGCGTCTGTCCCACCTGAGATGAAAGCAGTACTGGCCCTCAGCAAGGCCTGCTGCGGCGGGGACAGCGGGGAGGCGGGACCGGAGCAGACATTTCCCTTTGGAGACGTAATGTCCTTCTGAGGGTGCTTTCGCTCACGTGCACCATGTTTCCATAACGCCCGTTTTATTCCTATTCCTTGGGCTTCTCTATTCATTCAGTAAATACTTACGAGCACCTCCTTCATAGCAGACATTGTTCTTTCCGAAAGACTGAATTACCTTAATACAGTTTTTACAGCAAACAGTTTCTGTATCATCTGTCCGCAGCAGAATGACTGTCAGCTGACTCCCGACACACCTTACAGTAGCGTGAAATGTTTTCAGAGAGACTGCAGTGCGAAGAAGTGGCGGGCAGTGGCCGGCCCACTTCTAGAGAAACAGAGAATTGAGACGTTTGTCTCTGGAGGGTCTGTTTTGGTGGTCACACGTAGAACATTCCCATTTCGTCATGGTCGCAGCCAAATTGGTTCTTCTACTTCAGTCCCTGCCCCAAGATGACCAGCAGTTTAAACCCATACCGCACATGTGTCTGCTCAGCCCTGCGGTGCTGGTGCACGTAGATTAGGATCTTACCGTTCCAGGAACAGGGCATGTATGTCAGCCAGAAGGGTCAGTATATCCCTTCGGATCCTCCTCATGTGACGTCATCCTGGTCTCTTATTCTCTGGTAATCACAGTGGTCGTCACTGTTATCTGAAGGCAGGGGTGGGAATTTCCTCCGTGCTGCTAGCTAAGTGTTCCTGGAGACATCTGCAAACAGTCTGTGACAGGAAGTTCCTGATGTGTGTAGTCAACTCGTTCATTTCACAAATATGTAAGGAGCTTCTTAAGAAAACTATGGAGGTGATTGAATAACTTAAACTGAAAGAAACAGACATCATTGAGGCAAGTTACAAAACGTCTAATGACCTAAAGCAGGAAGAGAGCCTAAGCATGTCTTGCCACTGTGCTAATTTCTATTTTAACGGAATTAAACAGGAAAGACTTGTCATAGGATCTTTCTAAACCGATAATTGAACGTGGAGAGTTCATAAGGTTCTTCTCAGTTATATATTAGGGCCGTCACACCTGTATACGTGTTTCCAGAAGTTCGGTGTATTTCTTTCGAACTCTTAGTTGCTCACATTCTTTTGGGTTAGTTTTCCGTGAGCTTTTATTTCCCCAGCCCCGTCCATCTTGCTTTCCCTTCTTTTCATCCCGGTTAAGGCTGGAATCAGTCATTTCTATTTCATTGAATGTTAATTTTAATTAGCTCTTGGTTTTATTTCCAAAATTGTTTTTATTTCACGGAGTTTAACTATTTGAAGGTGTGTCTTCCTGCTGTCTTTAGTTTTTCTCCTCATCCCTCTGGCATCATAAACGAGTATTTCAGGTATTTCAATTCTCTTCTTGTATTTTTTCCTCCACATTTTGTATGTCCACATTTCCCTCGAGCCTATTCACTGTTCTTGCCTCCCTTCCATGCAGCTGTAAATCTAGACGTCGTCTCTGCTGCTCCGTTCTGCGTTCTCCAGTGATTCCAAACTCGGGCTTTGCCGTCGTCCGAATTTGACCTTCTCCATGTCATCCTGTTTCTCTTCTTTTTTTCATGAATTTTTCTTTTCTCTCGTAAGCCTCCTTCCCCGTCGTCGGCCCTCAGGTCTAGCAGGCTGCGCTCGTCACGGCCAGTTGCCCCCGAGCATCATTCACCCCTTTCGTGTCTGTGTTCCGCCCCCTTCGCTCCCCCGTCACGGGCAGCTGTTGTAGCGTGTTTCAGCGTTAATAGTGTTACTCATCTTAATAATCATGATTAGTGAACACGAATTTTTATTAACATTTAAAGTTCATGTTAAAATAGTTTAAGTGCTTAGCGAGTTACATTTAAAACTTCGTTTCCATTGCTGTGTCTACAGAGACGAGTCCCGTTTCTCAGTGTATAGCTCAGCACGTCGAGAGTGGCTGTCTGGATTCTTCATCGATTCAGACTCTTAATAACTGTTTTACCTGGACTAGGTATAAATGTACTTATCCTGATTTTTCGGATTATGTCCTGAATGACATTTGTGTTATAACTGCTTTTTAACATGTCCTGCCTCAGAATTTAGATTCAGCTAAGCAGACATCTTGTATCACTTAATTCAGATACCAGCTGGAAGTAATTATTTCTGTGCAATACTTACAGCATATGTGGATTTAAAGTGCTTCTTGCTATAAATCTACCCCCCCCACCCCGCCCCTGGTTTCTCGTAGGTATTTTAGAAGTGTTATTTTTGTAAGGAAGAGTCAGAGAATATATCTTATTAGCTCATTTTCAACAACGTGCCATTTTGTTTCAGTGGTTTGGAAAAAAGTAACTTAAACTTATTTTTTATACCTGAGTAAAGTCTCTATGAATGAAAAGATTCATCATGTTAATAATCTCTATGAATGAAAAGATTAAACATTTAAAATTCCCAGAGAAATTTAGAAGAAAATATATTAAAAGCTGTGGATGTGATTTCTAACCTACATTTTCAAAGTATGGTTTTAGGAATCATGTGAAAAGAAGTACTGACTTACCTATGTGTTTTGCGAATTACATGCTAAATGAAACTAACTAGGTTTCTTCATTATAGGACTTATCAGAGCCTTTAAAATGCTAACCTACTTTGTGAGTTTTCAAACAGTATATAACACGGTTACTCAGAGTGATTTCATAAAGAATCCTTTTTTTCATGAAAAAGCATCTTTCAGAATTAATGTTTATATGAAACATTTTCGAAATATTGCTTCTGATCTTATGATACATAGAAAAGATAGTTTTTGACTAATGAAAATGTTCATAAATAAAGATGAGGTATAAAAAAGGAAAGCAAAACATTCACACTTCTGCTGTGATAACGGCAGACTTGGTCATTTGGACTAACTTTTATCATCGAGGACAACTAGAAATGCTAGGCAAAATATTTTACAGAGACGCTTGAGAGCATTTGAGAGCCGACCAGGTCCTGAGGAGCTCCTGGCACAGGTCCCAGGGAGTGGTGAGGACATGAGCCCCGCACTGATGGCTGCTTCTCCCCAGGGGATGTTTGCCAGTTCCACAGTGGGCTGCCTAAGAATCTGTGCGCGACAGCCTCAGAGATCAGAGAGGACAGATTGAAGTGGAGGGCCCACAAGAATGGGGAGAGCCTAATATACTCCTCTCACTTTGGGCTGGGACGCCAAAAGACTGAACCCTAGAAGCAGAGTGAATGATGAGCAAAAAGCGTGGTGTCCTGAGACGGAAGCTACTTCTCGTGAAGATGCCGTGAAGATTGTGGAAACGACAACGAAGGATTTAGAATGCGACACAGACGCAGCTGATGAAACAGACAGCGGCAGGGCTGGAGCGGGCCGACTCCAGTTTCGAAAGAAGTTCTGTGGGTAGAACGCTATCGAACAGCATCGCACGCTGCAGACACATCTTTAGTGAAAGGAAGGGTCAGTTGATGCGGTAAACGTCATCGGTGTCTCATTTTAAGAAACTGCCACAGCCACCCTGATCGGTCAGCAGCCATCAGCATTGGAGCCAGACCCTCCAGCAGCAAAATGAGTAGGACTCGCTGAAGGCTCAGATGATGGCTAGCAGTTTTTAGGAATAAAGCATTTTTTAGCTAACATATATGCGTTGTTTTTTAGACCATGCTGTTGTACCCTTAATGGTTGATAAAGCTGATACAGTATAACATAAACTCAACTTTTATGTGCACTGGGAAACCAAAACGTTCGTGGCTCGCTTCATTGCGGTGGTCTGGAACCAAGCCTGCCGTGGCTCCCAGGTGTGCCTGTACACATGATTCACAGGGGGCCTTCTGCCAAGGATGCCTCCAGATCATCAAAGAAAAGAGAATCCCATTTTTAAAACTATGCATGAGCACACAGACATTTCCCAGAAGAACTTGTCCAGGTGTTTAAAAAACATGTGGAAAGACGCTCGAGCTCAGTAATCGGGGACGCGCAGAATGAAGTCCACAGACATTACACACCAGAACGCCGAAAGCTATAGACATGTGCCGGGTGTTGGCAAGGCTGTGGGGAAACCCAGACTCACACGCTAATGGTGGCCGTGCAGGTTGCTGCACCTGTGTGACACGGTCTACTGCAGCTGCAGGTGTATGACCCAGCGTGTCATGCACCCTCACATACTGCCCAGAAGTGTGCACCAAGGGATGACGAGGAAGAGTGCGCATGCACTGTTTGTGACAGCCAGCGTCTAGAAATCATCCAGATTCCTGTCAGCAGTACAAGCGATACGTGAAGGAATCTATATGAAGGGACACTACAATGCAGCGAAAATGAAGACCCCGCAGTGGTGGTCAGCAGCGTGGACGGGTTCCAGCAAAGCGACGTGAAGGAAGGAAGGTAGACGCGGACACCAAGTGACACTCCTCATGGAGTCTGCAGAGCACGGAGCGGCAGTGGTC